AAAAAAGGGAACCAGAAATTTAAAAACCCATAATGTGGTTATAATACTCACCATGCCCCCAAAATGGGATAAAAATGGACAAATGATAGCCAACATTTGTGAGGAACTTTTAACTATTTGGACTCTCTATATTTTTTGGTGTGGGTATAAAAATGGGGCAGTCCCCTTATTTTAAATGGGTTTTTTTTTTTTTTTTTTTTTTTTTTTTTTTTTTGACAGGCAGAGTGGACAGTGAGAGAGAGAGACAGAGAGAGAAAGGTCTTCCTTTGCCGTTGGTTCACCCTCCAATGGCCGCCGCTGCAGCCGGCGCACCGCGCTGATCCTGGCAGGAGCCAGGAGCCAGGTGCTTTTCCTGGTCTCCCATGGGGTGCAGGGCCCAAGCACCTGGGCCATCCTCCACTGCACTCCCTGGCCATAGCAGAGAGCTGGCCTGGAAGAGGGGCAACCGGGACAGAATCCGGCGCCCCAACCGGGACTAGAACCCGGTGTGCCGGCGCCGCAAGGTGGAGGATTAGCCTATTGAGCCACGGCGCCGGCTGCATATGCTTTTTCATAGCAACACTGTTCACTATAGCCAAAAGGTGGAATCAACTCAAATTTCCATCAGTAGGTACCTGGATATGCTAATTGTAGTACCATGAAAAGGATGATGGGTGAACCCTAAAAACTTTATTCTAGGTGAAAGATGCTAGACACCAAAGATCACCAATTGTCTGACTCCACCCGTAAAACCTCCAGAATAAGTGACTCAGAGTTGCAAAGCGGATTGGTGGTTTCCAGGGTTGGGAGACAGGAGACGGGGGGTTGACTGCTTGAGTGGTATGGGGTTTTCTTCTAGGTCAATGAATATGTTTTTGGAATAAGCTAGAACATGAATGTTCTAAATGCTATGAACTGTTCACATTAAAATAGTAAATATTGTTATGTGAATTTCACTTCAATTTTTAAAGGTCTTTTTTGAAAACCCCCCTGGTGGATAGAGAAGTGGTTAGGAATAAATGGGAGAAGGACCATGCACCCCACGATTGTAGATGACAGATCTTGGCAATATATTCAAAGTCATGCTCATGGGATGTTGACACTGTACACAGATATGCTGGTAGCATCTTACTTGATTGGGGTGAGATTTGTGGCGCCTGCTTCTTCTTGAAGTCCCGGTTTTAAGCAAGTCTTCCTTAGAATATGATTTCCAAACATATTCATCATTGTACAGGGTCTGATTGGGTATAGGGTCACTAAGTGAATACGTATATCCTAATCTTCGGATACTTTTTTGACTATAAGGAAACAGTAGAAGTTACAGTAAGTGATTAAATGCCAAATCTCACAACAGTATACATCCCAAATCCTTTTACTTGTTAGATGTTTTTAAAAATTGACAGACTTAAGATTCCCTTGAAAAGAAATAACCCTGTGTCTTAGGATGGCTCTTAACATAAGTATGAGATGCCTAAATTGAAATAACAAATAATAACTACCTGAAATTGATTTTGTTAATTTTTAAAAAAAAAATTGGATATTCTCCTATACAATGCAATCAAATTTGGTGCAAAGTAGTCCAGTTGATAAAATGAAAACTGAAGTATTCCAACTAATAAAAGGAAAAGCCATGAGAATTAGCATATCACTGGTTTGCAAGCCTCTAGTGAAATCATGCACCAGGGCAATGACCAACAGTGATCACTCACAACTAAAAGAGGAGCCACCACGTATTGTGGGCTTCTGGATGAATGCACAGAACTCACCTATGAATATTTGACCAAAATTTGGGACCTGAGGAATGGGCATTTGGCCTGATGGTTAAGATGCCTGCATCCCATATTGCAGTACCTGGGTTTGATACCCGACTCAGGCTCCTGATACCAGTGTGGTGCTAATGTGCACCCCAGGAGGCAGTAGGCATGATCAAGTGACTGGGTTCCTGCCACCTATGTGGGAGACCTGGACTGAGCTCCTAGTTTTGGCCCTGGTCCAGTCCTGGCCAGCAAGTTTTATAAAGATTCATTGCATAAAGCTGGTAGATACAGCTCTTGAGATTTTTTTTTTTCAGATTTTGTTTTCATCACTTGATACAGTATTTAAACCATATTTTAGTCTGATCCCATTATAAAACATTTACTCCAACATAGCCAAATGTTCACTTTATTTTTTGTTATTAATTTAATAATAAATCAAAGTATATTTTGGCTTGTCAGATCAATTAATCTTCCCTGTACATAACTTTCTCTTTCATTAGATCATCGCAAATGCTCAATTAGATATCTAATGAAATTGAGATTTTTACATGATTATTGCTTACTCCAGAAAGTCAAGCACCAGAGTTCTATATACATGAGAACACATTAACTAAGGGACATTACGTATTTTTTATCATACTCCTCACTTCACGGATAACTTTCACATTTAGCTGCACATTTTACAGCATACTTTTGTGACTTGGAAATGATTAATCATTCCAGACTTGAATCTTTCTTAGATTTCCTCTGTCTAGTCACAGCAATCTTCCCTGAAGTATGCATCCTGTAATGTAGTTTTCAGTAGTTTCTATAATTTTCCTTAAAATATAGTAACATTTATTTGAACCAGAAGTGTAGTTAAGATTTTAGTTTGGCGAGAGAGAAACCTACTTTCGCTCATCGGTTTGACAACAAGGACTGATTCTGCCAACAAGGTAAAGATGATGTCAACTGAATGAGCTAAATAACCTGCAGTTCCAAGATTTTGATAAAAATATACTGAAAGCATGTGAAGATAAAAAGCTTTCAAAAATATGGTATCAGAAAATATTTGTTAAAATTAATGTTTTCACTTTGCAAGTTCTTTTAAGTGTACAGTGTTGAACAGATTACTCCAAGTGGAAGAGTAGCAGCTGTAATTTATCCATCATTTGTTAAGGTGTGCCTTCCGGTATATTTCTCAGAAACTGATATGGGGCTAATTCAATATCTGGATGACAAATCATCACATTGGACGCTTCCAAGAAAACAGAAAGGGCACCCAGTTGCCCTGTTGTCAGCTGATCATTCATTAAAACTCATTTCGTGATTTCTGGCGTGGAAGTCAGAGTTCAGAGTGTGTAGCAAAAAACTGCTACACCAAGACTCCCTGCATTCACATCTACACAGAGACATGAGCAAGATTCTTCAGCACTATCAACTGAACAAAAGAGCAGCAGAAAAAACGGATGCTGATTGCAGTCTCATTCTAAAAATAACAACCCTCAAAACTGACTCTGTGAACTAATTGAAAAACAAAACGGCCCCACTTAGCTCATTAAAGTGCAGTTCCAAAAAATATACTTTGTAGTTAGTAATTATTAACACTGAAATGTATTTATTGCTTTGAGCAATTGTGATCTAAAAATAATTGTGATAACTCAATACTTAGTCATCTAACATGCTTAAAAATTAATTTCAATTAATATATGAAAATAATTGCAAAGTGGTATAATAGACTGATCAATAAGCTACTTTCAAACATAAAATTTATTACAGCAGGAGAAAAGTCTACAGAGGAAGTCGAGTGGGAATGAGTTCAGCAAGGAAAGAGAATGAAATAAATCAATTAGGAGAGTGTTTTTTAAAGGGGTTTGCGAGAGTTAATTTGCCAAGGCATTTAGAGTACCCATTGGTTCTATTAAGAGTTGTAGTTGAAAAGTCAATATTTAGGATGGGCTGGAAGTTTTCTTTTACAACCATAAAAATTTATGCTGAAAACTTTTATGAGACCCTTCCACGTAATGGGGTTGAAGACCACTGGCCCAGAATCTGGTTTTGGCTCGCTCTCCTCCCAAACAGTTCTTCAGACAACTGCTACTGTCAGCGAACCCGGCACATTCACTGCGGTCAGAGGGTCAGTCCCCCAGTGAAGGGAGACAACGCAGCTCAGCAGGAAGACCAGCAGCTCAGAAACCAGGGTCTGGGAGCCTTGCGCTTTTGGGAAGTCAATCAAACACGGAGGGGAAAATTAATGAAGGTTATTGAGTTCTTTGCACAAGTACCAGGACTTTGTGTCCTGGTGGAGACAGCGCCCCCACCACCACCAGGCAGGGCTCAGCAGTCCCCCACCAGCCGTGAACAGCCTCAGATGCTCTGTGACTTGTCTAAGGCAGGGAAGCTAGGTAGGGTTCCAGCAGAGAGCTAAGGTTAGACTCTGTTCCGGCTGATTCCACACCCACGTTCTTGCCAAAATCCACTTAACTTCTCAATAACATGCACTTGTTCATTTTGTTTTTGAGATGGAGGCAGGGAGGGATGGAGGGAGGAAAAGCTCCCAGCCACCAGTTCATCCCCGGAAGGCTCACAATGGTTGGCTCTGGGTCGAGACCAGAGCTGGGAGCCAGGAACTCAATCCAGGCCTCGCACATGAGCAGCAGGAACTGAATTACTTGAGCCACCAGCTCTGCCTGCCAGGTCTGCATTAGCAGGAAACTGGAGTCAGGAGAGGGAGCCGGGGAGTGAACCCAGGTACTCCATTATGGAACACAGGTGTCCCAACCATTGCCTTAACCCCTGGGCCAAATGCCTGCTTCCTGCCCAGATCCTCTTTATTGGAAACAATTTACAGAGGAACCACAGGTCGTTGGAGTCGCTCAGGGATGGTCTCACACCTACTGGTAATGCAAGGAAAGTTGACCGGCTCCACCAGTCCCTCTCGCACTCCCCAGTTGATGAACTTAGACAGGCAGCTGAAGGACCCTCGGGTCAGGTAGAATTGGGCGAGACAAGAAGCTGCCAACAAGGCCATCGCTGGAGGAGTGGATGTACTGACAACAGGACTGTGGCTTTCTCCCCTTTTCCAAGACTGGGGCTGGGGGTGGTTGTGATAAAGACTCAACCACTCAACCACGTGTTCAATGGCCAGGGCCTGCCTACTACTATACATACAGAAGGGAATGGATTCAAGTCATACCTAATGTTTCGGTAACACAATCCTATTGACCAATACACTGGGTCAGTTGTAACCCACAACACACAATATGAGAATTTTCTTGGCTTTCCTCTAAGAGGTTTGGATACTATTTGTGGAGGGGAAATGTTCTCTCTGGTGCTTGGGGAGCTGTGCACACTGTAGCTCCCACCTTAGTGCATTTTTATAAGTCCTCTCTAATTAGCCTATTTGTTTTGGATTCTGAATAACAAGTGAACAATGTAGAGTGTGTATATCAACCTGACGCAAGGAGAGATCTACCGGATTAATGCAGGCGCTGCTCCTGTTTTCGGTGTGAATGCAGTCCGCATGGTGGTGGCATAGGAATCCCAGTGGCTTTCACCTGCTAAAGGAAAGATAAAGCAGTTCTAGACGAGGTGACCCAGGATATTTTGATCGAATTCTTGTTTGGCAATCAAAATCACTTGTGCAAGAGGGGAAGCACCTTGGATAGTAATTTAACGTTAGAGTCCAAGGAAACAAAAGGCAACTCCCAGCATCTAATAGGAAATAAGGGAAGCTAAACTTCATGGAAAAAAGGCCCTGCTGCTCTTCCTGAGCACTCCTGCAGGCTATTTTAAGGAATTCAAGCCGCACATTAAATATATAAAGAAGGCAGTCGTCCATTTCAAATTCTATCTCAGGATGCCTACTTAAGGTACCAGTGGGCACTGGTGTGTTTGAACCTATCAGCTTTTCATTCACCATATTAGATTAACTGTGTTACACAGGAAATGATGTGACAACAGGGAAGCGTTTCAGACCTGCCAAGTTCTATCCTGGACATCAGGGACACACCTTCTCCTTGCTTCTTCCTTTTCCTACCTGTTATCACCCTCCTCCCTAACCCTCATCCCAGGAAGCCCTTGCTAACAACCACACTTGTCTCTTTCCATCCCTGTATACATATGGATGTAATCACATGCAGATTTTATAGACATATATATTTTTTTTTTTTTGACAAAATTGGGCTCCCATGACACCAAGTATCCTGTTCTTGTATCTGTTACTAACAGTGTCCTATGGAATTAACTTCTGGCTCATCTGGAGTGGCTCTAATTCATTCTCTGGAATGTCTGCACAGTCATTCAGTGTCAATGTCATTTCAGTCTATGAGTTGGGCGGGATCAACAAGGGACAGAGTTGAGTTAGAGGAGAAGTCCAGAGGCTGATGCCTGGGCCTCTTGGAGAGGAGGAGGAGGAGCAGCCAGCAAAGGCGGCCAAGAAGAAGGGTCAGCAAGGCGAGGAGAAGCCCGCAGTGGGAGGCCTCCTAAAGGCAGAGGAAGCAAGGGTTTCAGAGGAGGGGATCACCCACGGCAAATGCTCCCAGATGGTTCCTGAGGAAGTAAGTGCCATTAGGTGGACAGGAGCAACAATAGCTGCTCTGCCCCTGCTTCCTGCTCTCCACAGGGTGCCACCAAACAGCTTGGCAATATAGTAGTCCCCCTCATCTACGGTGTCCCGTTTTGCAGTGTTCTGCAGTGTTAGTTAGCTGGTGGTCAGCTGTGGCCGAAAACGATTAAATGGGGGCCGGCACTGTGGCGGAGTGGGTAGAGCCACTGCCTGAGATGCCAGCATCCCATATGGGTTGCAGTTCATATCCTGGCTGCTCCACTTCTGATCCAGCTCCCTGCTAATGGCCTTGGAAAGCAGTGGAAGATGGCCCAAGGTGTTTGGAGACCCACAAGGGAGACCTGGAAGAAGCTCCTAGCTCCTTGCAGCCATCTGGGGGAGTGAACCAGTGTATGGAAGTTTGCTCTCTCTCTCTCTCTCTCTCTCTGTGTGTGTGTGTGTGTGTGTCTCCCTCTCTCTGTAATTCTTTCAAATAAGTAAATAAATCTTTAAGAAGAAAAAAATTAAATGGAAAATTCTAAAAATTAATCATTTTAAATTGCTGCCATTCTGCTTAGGTAAAAGGAAGTCTCACCAGGTCTCTCAGTTCTGCCCAGGATGTGATCCATCCATTTATCCAGAGTGTCCATGCTGTGGAAGCTACCCACCCACTTGTTAGTTACTTGGCAGGTAGCGCAGTGTTTGTATCTAGGATCCAGTACTACCCATGGAATCACACATCCACCTGGAAGTCTTAGAACATAGTCCTCACTATGCATATTTAAAATTTACAGTTTACTCACTATCTCATTCTTCACATCTGGTCAATTACCTATCACTTTCTCCTTTCCACAGGAACCCGGGTTAACATGTCTTCATTTTTAAAAAGATGTGCTTGTTTATTTATTTGAAAGTGGGAGGGAGGGAGGGAGAGAGAGAGAGAGATCTTCCAGCCACTGGTTCATTCCCCAAATGGCCACAATAGCCAGGGCTGAGCAAGTCAAAACCAGGAGCCAAGAATGCTGTCTGGGTCTCCCACATGGGCAGCAGGGGCCCAAGTATTTGGGTCATCATCTGCTGCCTCCCAGGTCCATCAGCAAGGGGCTGGATCAGGTGTAGCAACAGAAACTCTGATGTAAGATGTGGGTGTCCCAAGTGGTAGCTTCACCCATGTGCCACAACACCTGGCAGCGTATCTCTACGTTGTGAACAAACGGTGCTGACTAGGCTCTGGGCCCTCATTCCTAGAATACTGTGGCCACCTCACTGCCTGTGCATTTGTCTCTCCTCCTGTAGCCTATCACAATTGCCACAAAGTATTTTTCTTCAGTTTCCCAGCATTTTGAAAGCTTATGACCCTCACCTGTGAACTTCTTAATATTCATTCCCCCATCTCTTGTTGATAGTTGTTTTAAGATTTACTTATTTATTTGAAAGGCAGAGCATTAGAGAGAGAGAAATAGAGAGTGTTTTTTCCACTGATTCACTCCCCAAATGCCTGCAATAGCCAGGGGCTGGGTCAGGCCAAATCCAGGAGCTCAGAAATCCATCCAGGTCTCCCACATGGGTGGCCGGAACTCAAGCACTTGGGCCATCTTCCACTGCTTTCCCAGGTGCATTAGCGATGGGAGCTGGATCGGAAGTGGAGCAGCCAGGACTGAGGCTTCCATACAGGATGCTGGATTGCAGGTGGCCTAGACAGCTGCGTGTTGATAGCTTCACAGACCCTCACATCCAGTCAGGTAGTCGGATCTGCCCATCTGTGACTCCCTCCTGCTGCCTACCCACAGTTCAAGTGTGATCTCCACTCAGAATTTCTCCCAGAGGGCCGGCGCCGCGGCTCACTTGGCTAATCCTCTGCCTGTAGTGCCGGCACCCCAGGTTCTTAGCTCGGTTGCTCCTCTTCCAGGCCAGCTCTCTGCTGTGGCCTGGGAAGGCAGTGGAGGATGGCCCAAGTGCTTGGGCCCTGAACCCGCATGGGAGACCAGGAGGAAGCACCTGGCTCCTGGCTTTGGATCGGCGCAGCGCGCTGGCCGTAGCGGCCATTTGGTGGGTGAACAAACAGAAAAGGAAGACCTTTCTCTCTGTCTCTCTCTTTCTCTCTCTCTCACTGTCTAACTCTGCCTGTCAGAAAAAAAAAAAAAAAGAAGAAGAAAAGAAAAGAAAAAAAATTTCTCCCAGAGAACTGAGGTCTTGGCTCCAGTGTCCACACCCTGTGCCTGTGCTGACCCCACTCTGGCTGTCTCCTCAGACTCCTGGTGGAGTGGGAATCACGTTATTCCCACATCAGAAGTAAAGGTCCTGGTGGGAACTCTGCCTGTGGACAGTGTGGGAAGCAGCGCTGTGGCCGACAGCTAACGGGACTAGGGTCTGTAGGCTGGAGTTCCGTGAGGGTCAGGAAGGAGTTTGAGCACAGAGCCCATGAGTCCTTTGGCCCTCTTTTTCTTTTATTCACAAACCCAGGCCAAGGACTTTCCTGGTTGGCTCAAATATGCTTCAAAAGCCCCAGAGGAACAGCACTGCCCGTGGCACCCTGGCAGCAGCTGAGTGGGCTAGCAAGCTGCCCTTCCCGGGGCCCCATCTGTGGTCTCTCCCCTTCTTGGGAGAGGCTGGGGCTGGCAGCTGGCATCTGTCAATTGCTCAGTGCCTGTTCCCTTTCTAGGAGTCTGCAGAGTCATAGCTGGCCGCCTGCCCCTGGGTCCTCCCTCGCCCCATGTCACTTAAGGACACACTCCTATTCCCTCCCACTCCCTAATCTGAATCTACTAGGATGCACAATGAAACTCCCTTTAATTTTGTATTAATGATTTTTTGTTACAATCTTTCTTACCAGGTCTGCATTTCTTTGCATTCTACATCTACTGAAAATCCTTTTGAAGATAAAATATGCCACGGGAATTGAACCTCTTCATCAATAGAAATGTTCTTTTAAAAATCCGTAATATACCTCCCCAATCATTCTAATTTTCAAATAAATATTAAGCATTATTTTTAAAAAGGGGTGGGCATTCTGGTGCAGTGAGTTAAGTTGCCCCTTATGATGCTCGGATCCCATCTTGGAGGGCCTGGTTCCAGTCCCCGATACTCTGGTTCCCAACCAGCTTTCTGCTAATGCATCATGGGAAGCAGCAGACGATGGCTCAAGTACTTGGGCCCCTGCCACCCGTGTGGGAGACCCAGATAGGGTTCTGGGTTCTTGACTTCTGACTGGCCCAGGCTTGGCTGTTGCAGGCATTTGGGGAGTGAATCCGTAGAAGGAAGATCTCTCTCGCTTGCTCGCTCGCTCTCTCTCTCTCTCCCTCCCACACTGGTTCGATCTGTGGGTGTGTGTGGCTCTCCCTTTTAATAAGCAAAAACAAGTTTATGACAAATCCGTAATGACAAGATTGGAAAGTATCCTGGGTGTGTGCTCTGGGTGTCACTGCTTGCTTCCGCCTCTCCCCCAGGGGTAAGTATCTACGTGTCTTTCCCGGCAGCTTCATGTCCATCTTTCCCATGATTCTGTCTCTTCCTTTCTTGTTCTCGGATCCTTACCATGGAGCAAGCCCTGTGCTCCGCACCAGGATCCAGAGCCTGGACCTCTGCCTTGGAGAAGACCCCAGCTAGGAAGGGACTGTGTATGCATGAACACAAGTCTGTGCTGCTATCCTGCAGGTCTTGGGCACCTGAGGAATCTCCCACTCTTCCTGCTTGGATAAGAGGAGACAGCAAGGGTAGGTCCAGGAGGGACTCCATCCAGTAGGTGGCATCCGAGCTGAGACTTAGCACAGTAGGAGTTTGACAGAGAAACAGGAAGGCATGGAATAAAGTACTTTACAGAGAAAGTGAAGTAGCAGGAGGTATGAGAGTCAGACTTGAGACAGATAAGCCAATGTGACTGAAGCAAAGAAAGGGCTCATGAAAGGCAGACGAGGCCTCACTTGCCCTGGCACCTGCTACCCCCTAAATTCTTGGCCCGCTAACCTTGGACCCCACTGGAGGTATTTGCCATTAAAAAATACACACAAGGGCATTCCAAAGCCCTTGTAGGAAGTGGCATTTAAAAATAAATATATTTTTGGGCTGGCGTTCTGGTGCAGTAGGTTAATCCTCCACCTGCAGCGCCAGCATCCCATATGGGTGTCGGTTCTAGTCCCGGCTGCTCCTCTTCCAATCCAGCTCTCTGTTATGGCCTGGGAAAGCAGTAGAAGATGGTCCAGGCACTTGGGTCACGGCACCCATGTGGGAGACCCAGAGGAAGCTCCTGGCTCCTGGCTTCGGATTAACTTAGCTCCAGCCATTGCGGCCATTTGGGGAGTGAACCAGTGAATAGAAGACCTTTCTCTCTGTCTCTCCCTCTCTCTATCTGTAACTCTACCTCTCAAATAAATAAAATCTTTTTTTTAAATAAGTATATTTTGGTGCAAAACAGTTGAAACCCATGCACATGTCGGATTTTAAATTTTGTGGAAATGCGTACTACTAATAAACTATGCAAGAGTGAGTGTTGTGGTGCAGTGGGTTAAGCCACCACTTGTTACACAGGCATGCCATATGGGAGTGCTGGTTCAAGTCTTGGCTACTCTGTCTCAGATCCAGCTCCCTGATAATGCACCTGGAAAAATAAATAGGGTGGCCCAAGTACTTAGACCCCTGCACCCACATGGGAGATCTGGATGGAGTGTCAGGCTCCTGGTTTTGGTCTCAACCAGCCCCAGTCATTGTGGCCATTTTTGGAGTGAACAGTGGATGGAAGATTTCTTTCTCTGTCTCTGCCTCCTCCATACACCCTCTACTGCTCTGCCTTTCAAATACATAAATAAATAAACAACTATGCATGGGTTTCAAATTAATTTTGCACCAAAATTAGTTTGTCTTTTAATCCCATTTTCCCACAAACTTTTTGAAGTATACCCTCCTACTATGAAACTCTGAATGTATTATACAATAGTAGCTAATACATACATTATATTACACTTGACAAAGTGTTTTCACATATAATATTTTTTTCTCACAATAACCTGGTAGAGAAGTAGTAACAGTACCTAATAATTCTAGCCTGTGTTTTGAGAATTAAAGGCATTTATAAACGTGAAGCCCTTGTAGTGTGCAGAATCTGTGCCTCCCAAAAAAGATATGTCCACGTGACAATCCATCCCCATGGCTGTGACATCATTTGGGGAAAGGGTCTTTGTAACTAAGGAAACCATCCTGGGCTGTCTACATGAGCCCTACATGCAAATGACAAGTGGCCTTCTAACAGGGAGGCAGAGGGAGACTTGACACACACAGAAGTGAATAAAGGTTTGTGATTATGGGGGCAGAGACAGGGCATTGCGCCCACATGGCAGGAATGCCAGCAGCCACCAGAAGCTGAAAGAGGCAAGGAAGGATTCTCCCCTGGAGCCTCAGAGGGGATGAAGCTCTGTCTACACCTTGACATTTGGACTTCTGGTTTTCTGAGATGCGAGGAAATAAACTCTTAACGTTTTCAGCCACCGGGCTGTGGCTCTGTATAGCAGACTCAAGAAACTAACAACAGCCACTGAGAGTCCTGTCTATAGCAACACTTCAGTGTTTGTTGTCAAGATCATCAACAAACAATTCCTATTTGCGGACCAAAGCTGGGCAGCAATGCACCAAGTTCACTTGGAGGATGGCTCTCCCAGCAAAGGAGGATGGGATAGCACATGGTGGCTATTAAAGACCCAAGACTTGGGCGAGAGTTTGGCACAGTGGTTAAAGCATCTCTTGGAATGCCCACAGCCCACACTGAAATGCTTGGGTTTGAGTCCCAGTTCCTCTCCTGATTCCAGCCTCCTGCTAATGCGCACGCTGGGAGGCAGCAGGTGATGGCTCCAGTGGTGGGGTCCCTGCCACCCGTAGGGGAGACCTGGATCGAGCTCCAGGCTCCTGGGTTCAGCCTGGCCCAGCCCTAGTCATTGTGGCCATTTGGGAAGGAATCAGTAGATGGGTATCTCCCTCTCCCTCTCCCTCTCCCTCTATCTCTCCCTCTCCCTCTCCCTCTATCTCTCCCTCTCTCTCTCTCTCTCTCTCTCTCACTCTCTCTCTCACTCTCTCTCTATCTCTATCTCTATCTCTATCTCTATCTCTATCTCTATCTCTATCTCTATCTCTATCTCTATCTCTATCTCTATCTCTATCTCTATCTCTATCTCTATCTCTCTCTGTAACCCTGCCTTTCAAATAAATCTTTAAAAGAAAGAAACCAAGACACAGTGGCAGGAAATGGAAGAGGGCATTCAAAATGAACACCAGGAAGTCTGGGGTGAAACATCCCCCCTCCATCCCTCTGCTAACCTTGTGGTTATTTAGAAAACGAGTGTATTTGTTTCTCTATACTAGTTGTTTCTATTGATTGTCTTAATTTACAAAGGAGTGAATTAGAAAAAAAATACACATATCATTCACTCTCTTGGGAGCACAGTCCTAGGTGACCTGGAGCTCTGGAGCCAGGGTGTGGCTGGGAAAGACCACGTGGAGCTGACTGCACGGTAGTGCTGGTGCCAGCCCACCACCAGTGGCTCTCCTTACACACACACACAAAGTCGAGCTGGTAAACCTGCTGCATCTGTAAGCAGAAGGAGGGCCCAGAGCAGTCCACCTGTTAAATTGCAGGTCTCTCAGAAGGAAATCAGCCCAGATTCAAGGCAGCTGCTGGGGGCCCAAGGCCCAGCTCCACCACAGCCGCGTGGGGGCCCTGCCTCTCTACTCATCCACCTGGCCTGCTTTCTGCACGCCCAGCCCCCGATGTCTTTGCTATTCCCCAGGCCTGTGCCTTTGCCCTGGGCCCCCTCCCTCCTGGGGAGGCACCAGTGCATCCCTGTTCCTGTCCCTCTGGAACCAGGCCTTTTTCCCAAAGATGTAAGCACCTGCGGGCTTCAGGGAGGGAACCTGGCAGCCAGGGCGCGGAAGCGCCTGAGAGGAGCAAGGTCACGGGCATCTGCCCTTCTCCAGGACTCCCCACCTCTCTCTCCATCGGGCCCATCCGTAAGAGGGAGGCATCGCCCTTAAAGACCAGAGCACCCTTGGCCGAACTGCGCCCCGCCCCGCCGTCCGAAGTCTTACTTGTCTGCAGCTTGGGGTCGCATAGAGAAGGGCAGGCAGCCTCGAGCCCAGGCTGAGCCATTCTGCTCCCCCGGGAGGCAGTCGCAGCCTGGCTCCAGTGGGCCTGGGTGCTGCGGGAGACGCCCCGGCCTCTGTGACGCCTGGCGGCTCAGAGACGCGTCGCCATGGAGACGCGGCTCGCATTCTCAGTGGTTGAGCGCCTGCTGGCCCAGGTGTGCGGGGCGTTGGAGGCCGCGGAGCAGAAAGCACACAGAAGTAATTCTGATCCCAAAGGATGACGCCGTTGCGATGATCGCTCCCCGCAGTAAGACGGGCAAAGCGAGTGGAGGATTGACCAAAAATGCATGGTTTCATATTTGCAGCTGCGAATTTGCATCTACCCGTAACTCGGGCTCAAGCACACGTGGGTAAAGCTATCATGATGTTCACAAGACATAAGAACCAAACTAGAAGACAAAATCTCAAGACGTGTGCTGTAAGGAGGGGCACAAGCAGAGTTTCCTTGAGAGTCTGGGCTGTGCAGGGCTCGCCCAGGCCCAGGGGTTAGGAAGCCAGCAGAAGCGGAGAGTGAGCTTGGGTACAGGACGCAGGGCCCTCCGTGTCCCTCCTGCCACGAACTGTGGGGCACTTTGACTGCTGATTTCCATGTCCTTCTGCTTCGGGTGTTTAATAAGATATCCGAAATATTAATAAGCCTGTGGGTTCTTGCCTCCTACTTAGAGAAGAATTCTGGATACTGGCACAAATAAACAAGGCATCATGATAAGTTTTTAAGGTTTTCAATCAGTGGGAGAAATGCATCGGAGAGTGAGGGCCCTGTCTAAGAAAGAAAGGGAAATCTGGATTCAGACCCAGTACCAGGAGCCAGCTACGTGGAGGAGCATGCAGGCCAGAAAGCATGGAGCAGGTGGCCCGATGGTGCAGGAGCAGCAAGGACAAAAAGTGGCAAAAGAGGCAAAAAGGCTGGGCCTGCTGTGTTTCCGGCCTTTAATCCACTTCCAAAGGGGAGTGGTTAACTACCCTGCTTGGCAGCTGTGCATACAGGTGTGGTCAGGCAGGGGCATGAGGTCACACAGAGGACCACATGGTGGAGGCGTGGTCTTCCAGCTCACACACCTGATCAGTTTTTGTGAGGAGCAACTCGGACTAGACTAAGTTACTGGAATTAAGACTTATTCTGTGCATCTGCTCTCCCACAATATGGCGCTGGGAGAGGAGTAAACAGCTTCTACGCAGCTGCCTCCAGTTCAACCAATAAGCAGCAGGACCTGCTCCTGATTGGAGGAGAGCAGCGTACTCGGCGTGTGGGTAGCAGAGTTGGGATTGGTGGAAGAGGACTATAAAGGAGGAGAGAGACAACATGCACCAGGAACATCTAAGGGGAACACCTGAGCAGCCCCCGAGAGAGCTGGCCGGCGGGTGTGCTGCTCCCCCGCGGAAGTGGGGAAAGTGGCAGGGGGAACCGCCCTTCCACGGAGGTGGAAGGGACGGTAGCCAACCCGGGAAGAACCAGCAGCAAACCCGGGGAGGGCCGAGCAGACAAAAGAACAGCGCAGGGTCCTGTGTCGTTCCTCCATGAATGGGGGAGCGACAAGTTTTATCCTCTGTGCCTGCCTATAGCACTTCTACACCCATGAGCTACGCTGCATCTGCGTTTTCACTGAGCAGAGAGGGGCTTTCATCTTCAACCCAGCGAGCACCAAAACGGCCCTGCTAAGCAGCAGGTGAGGGCGAACCTCCTTCCCACATGGCAGTTCCTCGGCTCTATACTCCAGTCTAGCCCCTGACTCTAGCTTCCTGCTAAAGCAGACCCTGGGAGGCAGCACCTGGTGGCTCAGACACTTGGGTTCCTACCGTTCATGTGAGAGACCTGGATCAAGTTCCAGCTCCTGGATAATTTTTTAATTAATTAGAGGCAGAGGCGGTGGGGGTCAGGGGGAGGGTGGGAATCGGTCTTCCATCAGTTCTTTCACTCCTCAAATGGACACAATAACCGGAGCTGCAGTGGTCTGAAGTCAGGAGCTTCTCTCAGGTCTCTCATGTGAGTGCAGAGGCCCAAGGACTTGGGACATCTTCCACTGCCTTCCCAGGCCATAGCAGAGAGCTGGATCGGAAGTGGAGCAGCCAGGACTCGAACTGGCGCCCATATGGGATGCTGGCACTGCAGGCAGAGGCTTTACCTGCTGCACAACAGCACCGGCCCCTCCAGCTCCTGTTATAAGCTTAGTCCATCTCCCATAGTTGCCACATTTTGGGGGGTGAACAAGTGGATTGGAACTCTCTATGTCTGTCCCTCTGCCTCTCAAAAACAAACCAAAGTTCATGGGAAAGAACTGAAAAGAGAAGCTTCTTTTGGTGCAGAACCCGGTTTTCCTGAATTTTTGAAGATTTCCTTCCCTGCATGCATTTCAACTTTTGCACCCACATAAACTTTTTAAATCCTATTTTTCCCCCACAAACATTTTGCCATACTCTGTGTTCTTGGCAATTTGACACATAGTGGTAAGGGCTTAGTGAGGCCTGGGTGCCTCCAGGTTACAGCACAGCTATTGGCCAGATAGTGAAAAGAGAAGACAAGAAATGTGCATTGGATGATGCTGACGACATTTTTTCCAAAGTTTTATTTATTTGAGGGGCAGAGTTACAGACAGAGAGAGGGAGAGGCACAGACAGAGAGAGGGAGAGACAGGGAGAAATTTCCATCTGCTGGTTCACTCCTCAAATGGCTGCAATGGCAGGAGCTAGGCCGACCCATAGCCAGGAGCCAGGAATTTCTTCCAGGTCTTCTATGTGGGTGCAAGGAGCCCAAGTGCTTGGGCCATCTTCTACTGCTTTCCCAGGCATGTTAGCAGGGAGCTGGTTAGGAAGAGTAGGAGCCGGGACTTGAACTGGTGTCCATATAGGATGCTGGCACTGCAGGTGGAGGCTTAGCCTACTATGCCATGGCGCCAGCCCCGCACATTTTTTAGAGTGCAGTTAGCAGCAGAAGGTTGTCTTTGAAGGAGGGTCATCCCAATACAGGGCCATAGGAGAACAGCGAAGCGTAACAAAGCAGGAGTTTATTCAAGGAAACAGAACAGGCATGGAAGTAAATATTCCACAGACATAATGCAAGGAATTTCTTAAAAATAAAGAGCTAAGCTAGAATCTTGTGGTACAGTCTGATCCCTGTAATGGAAGGAATAGCATAGATTTTAGACTCAAAATGTAAAGCCATGAATGGTGAAACACATCGGAAGGCATAGACTTCTGTTGATGTTATTAAAAGGAATGAATCTAAATCAGGATTTAGTAGTGGTGTCTAAATTAAGAAAGTAGCACCCAATAACAGATTAACTGTCTGGAAATGGTAGAGCTAATTAACATAGCATAGTTTCAGATAAATATATTTTTAAAATAGAGCAGCAAGTACATAGCATATAAAAAGTGAATTCATATTAATATCCTGATCTGTCTCAACACTGGGGAGTGGTGGGGGTGTGCACTGAGTTGCATGAGCTGGGAGAGCTCTCTGTCCCTGTCTGCCCAGGGCCCTTGGGAGGCAGCGGCTGCATCGCTGGCCCCTGGTTTCCTGGACTGCAACACAAGCATAGTACAATCCACCTGTGGGGCTGTGAGATGAATAATCCCAACTATAATCCGTCCACTGTAAAGCCACATGCATCCAAGGGATTGCTGGTTTGTCTGACTGCCTTCCTGCTCTCACAAGTACTGGGTGTGCACTGAGTATGGGTTGTATGTGATATTAAGGGCAACGCTCTGGACGTCATAGGAGAGAACAGCTTCCTGGGAAAGGACTGCCTGAGATGGATGCACGCAGTCAGGTGAGGAGGGAGAGGGGATATGGATGGATCAGGGTCCCAGGTGTCGCTCCCCCTCTTCGTGGAGGAACGACACTAAACCCTGCCTAGGCTTCATATCCAAGTCACGGCACCATTATGTCGCTCCCCGTCTTCGTGGAGGAACGACACAGGACCCTGCGTTGTTCTTTCGTCTGCTCGGCCCTCCCCGGGTTTGCTGCTGGTTCTTCCCTGGTTGGCTACCGTCCCTTCCACCTCCGTGGAAGGGCGGTTCCCCCTGGCCACTTTCCCCACTTCCGCAGGGGAGCGGCACAACGCCGGCCGGCTCTCTCGGGGGCTGCACAGGTGTTCCCCTTAGATGTTCCTGGTGCATGTTGTCTCTCTCCTCCTTCATAGTCCTCTTCCACCAATCCCAACTCGGCCGCCCACACACCGAGCACGCTGCTCTCCTCCAATCAGGAGCAGGATCAGCTCCTGGAGGTCATCACTCAAGTTGGCAAGAGGCAGCTGCGTAGAAGCTGGCCTCTCCTCTCCCAGCGCCACATTGTGGGAGAGCAGATGCATAGAATAAGTCTTAATTCCAGTAACTTAGTCTAGTCCGAGTTGCTCCCAGTTGCTCCCCACACCAGGTAGCAGGGACCTCAGGCCACCCAGTGTCCAAGAGGTGTGTTTGGGTTGTCACATTGCAGAGGGGGCACTGAGAACCAGTCCCCGCAGGCTGTGCCACCAAGTGGCTGGGGCTTTATTTGAGCCTGGGGCAAGTCGTTGACTGCATCCCACAGTGGAGTGAAGGGCCAGGTAAATCCTGGCCTCTTTTCCCCAGAAGCAGGAGGGGAGGCTAAGAGCCTTGCCACGCTGCCGGTCCAGGTTAATCCTTCAGAAATTAAAACCTCTAGCGTACTGACATGCGTTTCACAAAGCTTTGGATTGCTCCCAAACCCTTGAGAATAGTTGTATTGAGTGGGTTAAGTGTTAATTGGCTGTTTCCATGGAAATGATTCAAATCACTGTCTTTCTGCATGTACACAGGCACACACACACACACACACACACACCACGGAACGTGATGGGAAGCTGTAAAGACAGGGCGGGCAGACAGCAAGTGTAGGGTACTCAAGTGTTAGCTTCTCAGAAGAAAGTGGCAGGGAGGGAGTGGCTCAGGTAGGAGTGATACAACTTAAAATGGAAGAGAAAGGGGCTAGTGCTGTGTTTCAGTGCGCTAGGCCTGCACCCGTGGCACCTGCAGCCCATGTGGGTGCCGGTTCAAGTTCCAGCTGCTCCTCTTCTGATCCAGCTCTCTGCTGTTGGCCTGGGAAAGCAGGGGAAGATGGTCTAAGTCCTTGGGCCCCTGCCCCAATTTGGGAGACCCAGAAGAAGCTTCTTGCTCCTGGCTTTAGATCGGCCCAGCTCTGGCTGTTGCAGCCATTTGGGGAGTGAACCAGCAGATGGAAGATCTCACTCTCTCTGTCTCTCCCTCTCTCTGTCTGTAGCTCTACCTCTCAAGAAAATAAATAAAATCTTTTTTTTTTTTAAAGTAAACAAGTTCATAGGCCAAGGTTAAGGACTGAGGCCAGCAGGAGTTTTAGCCAAAAGGCAAACCACAAGGAGCTACCCCCTCCCCTCATTCTGTAAATAACTTGCAGACTTGCATTCTTTTGGAATAAATTAATAGCCTTCAAGGTTACTGAGAGTTTGCCTAAGTCAATCACCTGGCTACATCCATCCTTATATATCTGTTTTGGAAATAAATTTTGTAGTTACTCTTCATCAATTTTACCTCTAAAACCGGATCACACACCTGCTAGCCATTTCCCTTCTTGCATTGTCCTCCTAGCACTTACTTTATTGTGCTCTTTAGCCTGCACACCTCTCATATTTTCACAAGACTGGAAACTCCTTGAATGCAAGGACTGGGGCAGGCGCTTGGCCTAGGGTTAACGTGCTGCCTGGTGCGTCTGCGTCCTGTCTCAGAGTACCCTGGGTGTGAGTCCTGGCTCTGCTTCTGATTCCTGCTAACGCTCACCCTGGCGGGCACTAACTGATGGCTCATGTGGTTGGGTTCCTGCCTCTCTGGCTTGTGGTCCCAGCTCGTGGCTTCAGCCCGGTCCAGCCCTGGCTGTTTTGGGCATTTGGGGAGTGAACCAGATGCCAGCACTCTGTTTCTCTGCCTCTCAAATACATAAATATGTGAATGATTTTAAAAATACGCAAAGTGCGAGTGTCTGGTACAGCTGTTAATTTGCCACTTGGGATGCCTGCATCCCTTATTGGAGCGCCTTTTGTAAGTTCTGGTTCCTCTGCTTCTGATCCAGCTCCCTGCTAATGCACACTCTGGGAGGCAGCAGGTGATGGCCCAAGTGCTTGGAGATCCCTGCCAGCCACGTGGAAGAACCAGATCGACCTGGTCATGGCGTGAACCAGCAGGGAGAAGCTCTCTGTGTCTGTCTCTCTGCCTTCCAAATAAAATGAAATAAATAAAAGTGGAAGCAAAAGCAAGGGTAATGCTTAGGCATCTTTTTATGCCAGGTCGCATCTTTTTATTTATTATTTTTATTTTTTTTTTTTTTTGACAGGCAGAGTGGACAGTGAGAGAGAGAGACAGAGAGAAAGGTCTTCCTTTCCCGTTGGTTCACCCTCCAATGGCCGCCGCGGCCAGCGCACCGCGCTGATCCGCAGGCAGGAGCCAGGTGCTTCTCCTGGTCTCCCATGGGGTGCAGGGCCCAAGGACTTGGGCCATCCTCCACTGCACTCCCTGGCCACAGCAGAGGGCTGGCCTGGAAGAGGGGCAACCGGGACAGAATCCGGCGCCCCGACTGGGACTAGAACCCGGTGTGCCAGCGCCGCAAGGTGGAGGATTAGCCTAGTGAGCCGTGGAGCCGGCCGGTCGCATCTTTTTAGGCCTGGCGCAGGGTAACCATGTGTTAAACGAATGAGATATATGAGGACTGGATGAACTGCTTAGGTCACTGTCCTACACATTTCTATTGATCTTATAAATATGAAAATATCTGCAGGAGTCCCCATTTATACCAGATGGAAGACTCTTTTACTCAGGAAGGTCTGTTCCTAGAATTTTCATTGATTTTAAAGATTGGCCAGCATCACTTCTTTGTGATATTTGCCAATAAAACACACTAACACAGTGTATATTCCCTTAGACAGTCGATAGAATTTTGCTGAGTGAATACTGAATGACCGAATGCGTTTGGTTCAGAGCCAACTGAAAATTGTTTGTTTCTTAAACTATTCATTTGTGTATTCCAGAGGCAGAGAGATGGGGAAGGGGATAGGGGGAGGGAGGCACTCCCAGCCACTGTTACAATCCAAGGATACCTGCCCTGGCTGGGCTTGGGCCTGGCCAGAGCCGGGCCTCCCACATGGACGGCAGAAACCCAGTTACCTGAGCCATCACCACGTCTCCGAGGATGCACATGAGCAGAAAGCCGGAGCCAGGAGCCGGAAGTGGGCATTGAACCCAGCTACTGTGATGAGGGATACGGGCATCCAAAGTGTTTTAACCACTAGGCTAAACACCCACCCCTAGAAAAGGTATTTTTTTTAAGATTTATTTATTTATATGAAAAGCAGAGTTACAGAGAGGCAGAGGCAGAAACAGAGAGAGAGCGAAAGAGGTCTTCCATCTGCTGGTTTACTCCCCAAATGGACATGAGCTTCTTCTGGGTCTCCCACACAGGTGCAGAGGCCCAAGGACTTGGACCATCCTCCACTGCTTTCCCAGGCCACAGCAGAGAGTGGGATCAGAAGTAGAGCAGCCGCTCTCCAACCAGCACACATATGCAATGTCGGCACTGCAGGCAGTGGCTTTACCCACTGCATCACAGCACTGGCCCCAAAAAGGTTTTTAATGATTAAAAACACCTTCAGCTGGAGCTGGCACTGTGGTATAGTAGGTTAAGACTCCGCCTGTGACACTGGCATCCATATAGGCATCAGTTCCAGTCCCACCTGCTCCACTTCCAATCCAGCTCCTTATTAATGGCCTGGGAAAGTGGTGGAGGATGGCTCAAATGCTTGGGCCACTGCACCCACATGGGAGATTCAGAAGAAGCTCCTGGCTCCTGGCTTCAGATTGGTCCAGCTGCAGCCATCTGGGGAGCGAACCAACAGATGGAGGATCTCTCAGTCTGTCTCTCCTCAATCTCTGTAACTCTGCCTTTTGAAAAAAATTAATATTAATGGAAGGAAGGAAGGAAGGAAGGAAGGAAGGAAGGAAGGAAGGAAGATCGGCCCAGCTGTTAGTCCATTCCTGGGGCGATTAGGGGTATTTTTTCTCAATTTAGCAACTTTAAAAATTCTTCTTGGTCAATTTTGTCTGTAGAGTTTCCTATGGAAAGTATTTAATACTTGATATCTACCTCAGGTTTGTTTGCACTGATATAAACCTTACTTTATTGCTGCTACTATTCATTTTTCACTGAAATGTTTATTCTCACCTATTATTAAATAGGATTCCCCTTCTCTTTTCTGGAAGGTCACTCTCAAATGGTGCTCCACGTCCTCTGTAACTCTGTGCTTCCAAAGGCTCTTCTTGAGAAGATGTCTGTGAAAACCACCATTCCTACTGCAACTTAGTGACAAGGCAAGTGTGCCACTCACAAACCGCAACGGAAACATCGCCCACACACTTGACAACAGAGTTAAGCACTTCTAGGTTGAACACTAAGAAAAGTTGTAATAGTGCCAATGTTGTATCCAGTTCCAGTAAAAACGGCAGGACCCACAGTCGTATTAGCGAAATGTGTCACACAGGAGCACTTCTATAAAGGAGAGAATTGTTTTCAGGATCTACAAATCTTTCTCATTACAAACATACGTAGTGACTCATTTTTTTGGTAAGTTGATAAGATTTTTATTTATTTATTTTTGCTTTGGAAGAATTCCGCTGTGGCTATGTGGTGAAGAACGTACAGCTGTAACAATGTGCTATGGTAGCCTTAGAGCATTCGGCTAGTTTGCTTTTTGTGTTAGGACTGCTAAAAGCTTGCTTAACATACTCAGCTCACACGATGTGCTTTCCCAAGGAGGACAGTGCACCTGTAGTATCCTTGGCATCGCCACTTGGTCTCACATCACCTGGCTGCCTCCTCCATTGGAGGCCCAAGGAGTTCACACTTGGGGCAGTGGGCGGGCAAGGTCACCTTCCTGCTAACCTGGCCATACCCCAGGAAGCCTTACCTTGAATGTATACACATGGGCAGGATAAAAAACATACCTGCCCACCTTTGAAAGATGCCACAGGCTTTGTGCCCATTCAGGTTTACAAGAGAACAGCACAGCTAACCCCAGGCTCGCTAGGTGTGGGTGGACTCAAGGATGTCCCAAGCAGAGGGTCAAATCCTCCCAACCCATACTCAGTGGACACCCAGACCAGACAATACCCACAATGGCTGCCAGGAAAACTCCCAGGGGGGCAGGGTCCCAAGCAAAATGTGCAAGTGTAGTTTCTCTGCCTCTTTGGAGAAGTGTTCAAAGTAGAGGATATACCCAGCCAGCCAGCTATGCCGGGGGAGTGGGGCCCACAGCCCTTCCATCCCAGTAGCCATAACCTTTAAGAGGGTCAAGTGTGTTGGGCCTGCCAAGGCATCACATGCAGAGAAATGCAAGAAAGGACCCTCTGCCGAGGCCATGGGGGAGCCAGGGGCCGACAAGCAGGTGGAGAGGCCTGCCTCCCACCTCCTCCTGTCCCCTCACCCTGCAGTCTCGCCCAGGCCTGGAGTGCAGGAGCTGCTGGAAAGTTCAGTCCAATCAGACCAACTGCTTGGGCGTCTCTTCCGCTTCCAGAACGCTGGGAAATGGGAATTCTACCAAAAGGGGATCTGTGAGGGATGATCTGGGTGACAGATTGCAGTTAAAAACGTCATCTATCGAACCTAAAAAGTAGGAAATAAGATGTGCATTATTAGCATGGCAAAAACAAACAAACAAAAATCCAAAATCCAAAAAACCAACAGTGTCTTTAAAACTCGCACAGCATAACCATTTCAAGAATTAACAGGGAAGCCTGGCTTCCTCAGAAGAACTCCACAAGCTGAACAGAAATGCACTGCTCTCTGTCTGCCAATGGGATGTGGTTGCCACTTGGTTTCCCACAGGCTGGAGTAGGTCTGCAGTGAGCGGCACGAACTCTCTCTCACCTGATGGCAAAAGGCCCGCAATGGGGGAATAGAGGCCCAGGACAGAGGGCAGTTTTTGAAGGGGATGGAGCCTGGTTAGCAGTGTGCCCCTGTGCTCTGCCCATGTGCCCAGGGGCTGGGAGCCAGGCTCAGCCTGCCAGCCAGAGCAGCAGGTGTGTCTTGGCTGTGCCATCTGCAGTGCCTGTAACAGCTTCCAAGAGGGATGCTGTCGCACTGCTCCTGGGCTGAAATGGCCCCAGGGCTGGCTCAGGGCAAACTTGCAAGGAAGCACTGCCCAACTTCATCTGCTCCGTGGCACCCCTGAGATGGCAGCCTATGGGACATGCGTAAGCCATGGCGAACCAGGTGGACTTTGCCCAGGCTGCTGCGGCCCAGGGGTGAGGCTGAGTGTGTTGGAGGAAGGATTGGGTATCTGTGATACTGTTGGAACAGGGCAGCAGTCAATCTTTCCCACAAAGCACCCAAGTGTAACCCCTACCACCACCACGGCTGCATGAGGCAGAGCACAGCAGCATTACAGACAGGGATTAACACATCGTGGAAGGAGAGGGACACACTGAGACTGAGACGGAGACAGACAGACACAGAGAGTGAGACAGAGACTGAACAAGCTCAAGCAACGTGGAAGGAAAGAGAGCTAGACAGAGGAGACAGAGAAGGAGGGAGAGAGATGGGCAGAGGCCAAGATGGAGAGGGAAGGGAGGAACAGAGACAGATGGACAGAGGGAAGCATAGAGACAGAGAGGAGAGGAGGGAAGGAAGGAGGGAGAAAGAGAGAGAGAGAGAGAGAGAGAGAGAGAGAGATCACGGCCAGGACAACAAGTCGCTGGGAGTAAGCATTATTGCTGTAAGCTTTGGAAGAAGCAACTGCCATTAAATACAATCAACAAAGACAGAGTTTTACACGTGACCTTGGAGGACACTGGCTCTCTGCAGACAGCGCCTGAGTCCTGATCAAGGTGCTGCTCTGCAGCCCAGCCCAGCAGGAGTCAGAGAACCGGCTCTGTGGGGGACACCTCCAGAGGAGAGGGGGTGAGCGCCACCTGCCTGAGCCACTGGGCTTCAAAACCAAGAACCCCCCCTCCCCACATGCCAGTGACAGCTTTCAATGAAACCTCCCGTAATCCTTCCGTGATCTCGCAAGATCCGGAGAACCTTTCCAGATGTTGTTAGAGGTGCATATGGAGCGTGAAGACTCCACGCCCAGCTGATAGCTGGTAACAGTCTTTCACCCCGAACACACACAGAGGGAATGCAGCATTCTTTCATCATGTTTAAATTCTTGCCAATGATGTTTAAATGTGTATAAATAGGCACTTTAATATTGCAAATGCTTATGAACTAATTGATACGCATTCATTAATAATAAACAGCCATAATTAAATATTGAACGTTAAGAAAAACCTACAGAAAAGCCACTGTGTTTCTTTTTGGTGGTGAACTTTCCTTATTTTCTGCCTCACGTGGTAGGATCTCGCTCTTTTATTAGTAGGGCCTGCCTTTCCAGTTACCTGGCTGTCCTCTCCCACCACGGCGTCCTTCTACCCTCTGCATAACCACATCCCACACACTCCCGAGAATTTTCACCCTACCTCTGGAAGTGACGCTGAATTTCCGGTCTGAGAAACTGCTTCTTCGAATTAAAGGCTCGCTCATCTTTTCCAGAAATAGCTTAATCGTCTCCTTCTTCTCTGGACTGCTGCTTGACAAATTCAGAACTTTGCCATCCACTTTGACAGTGGAATTGCTGAGGCCAAACCAATAGAAGAAATCAAACAGTGCATCAGCTTTGAATTCATAGGCAAAGCTCAGGTTTTCTCCATTCAGCACCTCATTTCCTGGAGGGAAAAAGTTCTTCACCACCTCTTGAAAATCAAACTGAAAAAGAGGAAGAAGCAGGAAATCAAGTGCATTCGCTTAGGTGTTGTAGAACTCACAGCTCCCCGCTATCCAAAATGTCACACCCCTTATTTCTCATTCACAAAGATTCTTAAATTTTGGCCGGCGCCGCGGCTCACTAGGCTAATCCTCCGCCTTGCAGTGCCGGCACACCGGGTTCTAGTCCCGGTCAGGGCGCCGGATTCTGTCCCGGTTGCCCTTCTTCCAGGCCAGCCCTCTGCTGTGGCCAGGGAGTGCAGTGGAGGATGGCCCAAGTCCTTGGGCCCTGCACCCCATGGGAGACCAGGAAAAGTACCTGGCCCCTGCCATCGGATCAGCGCGGTGCGCCGGCCACGGCAGCCATTGGAGGGTGAACCAACGGCAAAGGAAGACCTTTCTCTCTCTCTATCTCTCTCACTGTCCACTCTGCCTGTCAAAAAAAAAAAAAAAAGATTCTTAAATTTTGTCTTTTTTTTTAAAAAAAATAGACCTTTGTGTTCCATATTCCATCTAAAGATTTTGAACTGTGTGGTCAAACATATTTATTTTTACTCCATTTCTAATAAGTTGCCAGAAACTGAGTGATGTTATTGGTAGCAATAGTGATGACCAGGGAACAAAGCGACTGGCATATGTAGTCCCACCTTATCTGTGCTCTCACATCCACAGACTTAGTCACCAGGGGCCCAGAAATATTAAACAGGAAATTCTAAAAAAGAATAATTTCAGAGTCTTAAATAAATTGTTTTATTTTGTATGATAATGGTTCCATTTTCAATTGCTGTTGCTAATCTTTTTCCTGTGCTCAATTTATAAATTAAACCTTATCATATGTATGCATGTATGGGATCAAATGGTATATGAATACTTCAAATAGCTTGTGAAACAACTGAATTAAACGATATGTTGATTTTGGTGCCAGTAAGCTTTGAAAGTCATGCATATCTTCAGAATAGGCATTATTCCGCTTTTTGCAGGCCTTCTCATCTGCATGTATTTCAATTCAGTTGGCCCCAAAATAATCTTATCTTTTAATCCTATTGGCCATGAAGTTTGGAAGTCCCCATGTGAGCTGAGTTTGGTACAACCTGCGGTTTCAGGAATCCAAAAGATTCCCAGATAATGGGGTCGCCTGGAACTACGCAAAGGCGCTGGGGCTGGTTCCTAGCATGGAACTTACAGGTCCCCCCGGGAGCTTGGCGGCTCGGGATTCAGCCAGGCGCAGGCTTACCTGGAGTCGGTAACTTTCTCCAATCACTGAGGAGATGACCATGTCCATGCCGTGCTCCAGCTGTCTTCTGATCTTGGGGTGCCTTGTGTTCACAAGGAAGGCATACGTCCTCTCTAGAAACCAGCGGGTGGAATTCAGATGGACGGAAGTGTGCACCAGGGACATAAGCATTTTCCGAGGGGCTGCCCACAGAGTGCTTCCCCCCTTCGCTGCAAATTTCACTCCTCTCTGGCCACTCCCTCAGACCCTCACTGCAAAGCCTGACCAGGTTTCTAGAAATGTTTGCAAGGATTTTCCAGATTTGCGGGGACCCAGCTGAACGCTGTTGTGAAAGCATTTCAGGACACCAGCTTCTCCCCGGGATGGCAGTTTGTCACAGAAGTCTCACACGTCACGATTTCCACAATCTGATCTTTGCAGATGAGCACGGCATGGACAAAAGTGTGCAAAATCCAGCCGGCTGGCTTCACGTCCTCACCTTGCTATTTGGCTCTCTCTGACATTTCCTCATTTGCAAAGCAGAAAATCAGCCCAATCCAGCAAGAAAGCTGCCCAGGGTTTCCATGTTGTCTGTCCTTCCTCCATCTCTCCCCAGCCTCTCCAGCCAACCAGTGTTCTCTGGGTTCTAAGAACCAAGGCGGTTTGAGACAGACTCTCCTCTGTGCCCTTGGCCCTATCACAAGTCCAGATGTGGAAAGCACCTCCCACTGTTTAAATAACACCATGTGTGTGTCCTAGTGGTAGTTTTTCTGTTGTCGCTGTTTTATTAACCCCTATGCCTTGTTCTGACCAACTCTGCATGATGGAAGCACTGACTCATTAGGAGATGCGAATTAGCATCAGCAAGCAACCTTTTCATCTTCCCAGCCCCCGGCATCAAGCTCCATGGGCTCAAGCACTTCACCTGGAGGCCCACCGAGACCTCTGTCCCCCCTCCGTCTGTGCCAGCCAGGGTGTGGTTTTGAGACACCTCAGAGCCAGACCTGTGGTTTTTCCAATAAGAAGGGTTTACCTTTGCAAGGAATGCATTTTGAGTTAACCTTGTTCATCTTCTTTCTCCTATCCCTGTTTTACTTTCTTCCAAATTATTTTTGGGGACACTTTATGTATAAATTACTTTATATCTTCTTTGAGATAAAAGATGGATAAGCAAATAAAACAAGCGAGGTATTTGATACCTTGAATTGCCTCCTTTTAAAGACATTTTCAAAGATTTATGTATGTATTTATTTATTTACTGGAAAGCAGAGGGTAAGAGAAAGAGGGGGAAGGAGAGAGATTTTCCATCCTCTGGTGCATTCCCCAAGAGCCCACAACAGCTAGGGCTGGGCCAGGCCAAATCCAGAAGCCAAGAACTTCATCCAGATCTCACACATCAGTGGCAAGAACCCAAATACTTGAGCCATCATCTGCTATTTCCCAGGTGCTTTGGCAGGAAGCTGGATCAGAAGCTCAGAGTAGCTGGGATTTGAACCAGCACTCAGATAAGGGATGAAGGCATCCAAGTGGTGGCTTAACCTGCCATGCCACAGAACATCCATCCCTTGAATTAAGTTTCACACAGCAAAAAAACCCACAAAACTTTTAGGGTCATTAAATACTCAGGACTATCCTATTCCACAATTGTGCTCGTTGAGCAGGCTGTGCACTGCACAGCTCCAGAGGACAGCACGCAGTTACAACCATCGTCTCTCTGTATATTTATTATGACAAAGTTCTGGAAAGCATTCGTACTTGTTGGGAGCAAATGGTAGCTTTTCTGATTTTTTGCAAAAGTGCAGTTTTAGAATAGTGACAGGACTGGACATGTTGCCTTGATCACAGTCTAAACTTGACTGTCTTAAGTTTCTGCATCATAGAACTTACTTCTGTACCTCCTTCCACAATGGTTGTCCTACAGCACCACGATCTCCTGGTATCACTCCCTGTACTTTAATTAAAATGTCAAGAAGGAGAGGTCCCTGATTCTTTCCTTTGATTCATTCTGAGAGATGGACGTGGGGTGTACTTGACACAGCCTGGAGAACTCTCTGGCTTTCTGGTCATCATCAAGCCAAAGAACATGAGGGCTCAGCTGTTCTAACAAGCACCGCTGATTCCTGTGTATTCTGTACCCAGCCTTGCCTGCAGAGAGAGCATCGTGACTTTGAACCACGGACTACGCAGAATCTGAGTGGTGTGGATGTCTGAGGAAGTCTCTTTGAAATGGATAGATTATTTCTCATTTTAAGAAAGCTATTTGGAAGCAAGCTCAAGAAGTTCTACCTGTATCATAGAACTTTATGCCCATGATTTTCCTCACACCACTTTGAGCAAGAGTAGGAAGGAAAACTCTAATCAGATAAAATAGTCAACCTTATCGGTTAATATGATTTCTTGGAAGAAATAATAAAGAGATGTATCTGTCAAAATGTGAAATTCTAACACCAGAGGCTGAAACATGAAGTCATCTACGAGTGGTACTTCTTTATCTTAGTTTCCCCATCTATAAAACAGGCAGGCAGGCATTTGGCCTAGTGCTTAAGACACCAGTAACATTTCCACACCCCATAGCAGAGTGCCCGGGTTCAACTCTCTGGCCTCAGCTTCCTGCCAATGCAGACCTGTGGGGCAACAGGTGATGGCGCAAATGGTTGGGTTTCTGCCACCTGTGCTGGAGACCTGGACTGTGATGACTTTCATACTCCACAATGTCCCCATCTGGATGATAAACCTGTAGGGCCATTGTGCCACTTAATTACATTAAAGCAAGCCTCAAGCATAGTGTTAGAGGTGTGACAGAGCATGTTATAAATCATCCTCAGAGCTCCAGTCATTTGGGTACCTTGAAGGGCTCAGAACATCAGACCACTTCCTGTTTAGACAGGAAGTAGAACCTCTGAAGGTTCGGGATGTCAACTCACTTTCCTGCCTAGACAGGAAGTGGAACCTCTGAAGGCTCAGGATGTCAGGTCAGTTCTTACTGACACAGGAAGTAGGAAGAAAGCTCCGAGAGAGGTGGCGTCTGCTCTAAGATCACTTAGAGACTGGTTCCATAGGTTCGAGCTGTGCTTCAGATGCCCTCTGAGACTAGGCTCCTCACTGCTGGCCTGGTCAGAAGCTGACTTCCACCTGTCTTCTTCATGCCCCATTCCTACCCCTCAGCATGCCTCGGCCCAACACCCAGCAAGGCAGGACCAAAGCAACAATGTTTATAGACCTACCTTTTGAGGTGTCTTTTTTGGTCAGGACGTTCACAAAGAACAGCATGGGTTTGCTCAATATGGTTTCCCTGTAGTCCTTATAATCACAGTAGTTGGTCAGTTCCACATATCTACAAAAAAGCAGAGATAATTGCAAATGTAACACACCCTCGCACCTAAGTCAGGAGTGGGACGTGCTGCTGGTCAGGTCCCTTCCACAGGCATGAACCTTGGAGGGAAGCCCCCAAAATGTGCTTTTACAGAGGTCACCATATTTTGTACCACATCGATCAATCTGCTTCCCCTCGTCACAGTTCATGGACTGAGGGAAGAGAGTGTGACCCAGGGGTGCCATGATCCATGGGGTGGCCTGGATTGGTGCTTAGCTCTCAGTGGTAACCTTTAACAAATGACAACCATCTTTCAATTGGGCTCTAGGAGACCATTTGAAGCTCTAAGCCCGTCTGGCCAGAGGATGGATTGAATTCACTCTTGGTGTAATGGGTGAGTCCTCTTCAGTGGAGTCACTGTCTGGTGACCAGTGAATCTGCAATTTCCCTTCCCATCTCCTCCCACTTTTCCTCTCCAATCCCAAGACAAACCCAGCTCCCCCTCACATGTGGAATGAGAAGGCCATGCCAAGATGGCCGCTGGCAAGCGAGCTTCAGTTACTCAGGAATGGCTTTGAATCCCACCTGGCAACGGAGCCCGCCTGGAAACAGGCTGTGATTGGATGGCTTTGGATACTGCCTGGCAACAGGCTGTGATTGGTTAGGGCATAGACTGCCCCTTGACCGGATTGGCCACCTTGGCTATATAAGCAGCTGTAGCAACTGAAATAAATGAGTCTGCAGGCTGCTCACCTCTGGCCTGCTTTCACCCGACTCCCGGGGTCTGTGTGGTGACTCCGCGCCTCTTGCCCCTACCACGCTCCTCTTTTCAGGAATGAATCCACAGCAACAACCACACATACAAACTATTACCAATTCACATCTCCCTGGTTCCGAGTCGATGTAATTTTAAAAAATTAGACTTTTGCCCCTGTGCTGATTAAATGTAGTCACCTTGGTTTTAGTTCATTATTCCAGCTTAGCAAAACTCTTTCTGAATCTCGACTGTGTCATCCAGCATGCAAGCTTTTCTCCCCTGCCCTACAAATTTTCCAAGTAGCCTTTCTAAGTCTCTACTCACATGGCTACAAAAAGATCCAGTTGCAAGTTAGCTTTCTTGCAGAAGGCTGATTTTCTAGCTACAGCCAAGCTCAAATATGGTGTGGACAACGGCTGGCTGAGTGGTATCTAATGGGCTGAAGGATGCGTCTGCCTCGGTCCCTCTTAAGCGCAGAGCCGGCTCCTGCTGCTGCAGCTGTGAGCATCTGTGTAGAGCACATAGCCGGGCTGAGCTGTTGCGCTACAAGGCAGCGTGCGTGTTTTACATCAATCGCGAGCAGGGACAGCTCCAAGCATTTCTTCCCGACTGCTTGTCCTTCTAGTGCCTGATGTGACAATCACAATCTCAGAGAACAAGCAGCTGCTGCAGGGGGCCGTGGCCACACAGTCCTCTGCTGTCTCTCCCCAAGCCTGCTTCCCCCAACCCCCTCAGAGGGGCCAGCACACAAGACCGTGACCCATGTGCGGGTCAAGATCACAAGGGAGACCATCTACCCCGAGGCAGAAAAACACAGCATCCACTCCCTGTCTCTCAGCTTGGTTTCTTAGAAACCTATGTCATTATCTTTTTGCTGGGATTGTCAGACCTGATTTTGAGAGCTTTTAAATCCGACCCCTGATGGAGACTCTAACACACTTCCTGCCTTTGCTTTCATCAGGCTTTTAAAGCACTCTCCACCTCCCAAGACATCTGCACCAGTGGGGCTTGGGGGGCTGGGCCTAGGATGGGGGCAGGGCGCACAGAGTTGGAGTATTCCAGAGAATGAAAGGAGGTGAAGGTGCTGATGTCCTGGAGGTGTGGGCAGGGGGCTTTAGAAACAGCAGAGTGCGAGGAGGGACCTGGAGGGCGTAAGAAGGGATGGGACTGGGTAAGAGGATGCCAGGCAGGTTCTGTAGGTTTCTTCTTCTTTTTTTTTTTTCTTTTTCTTTTTGACAGGCAGAGTGGATAGTGAGAGAGAGAGACAGAGAGGAAGGTCTTCCTTTTCCATTGGTTCACCCTCCAATGGCTGCCACGGCTGGCTTGCTGCGGCCGGCGCACCACGCTGATCTGAAGGCAGGAGCCAGGTGCTTCTCCTGGTCTCCCATGGGGTGCAGGGCCCAAGGACTTGGGCCATCCTCCACTGCACTCCCGGGCCACAGCAGAGAGCTGGCCTGGAAGAGGGGCAACCGGGACAGAATCCGGTGCCCTAACCGGGACTAGAACCCAGTGTGCCAGCGCCGCTAGGTGGAGGATTAGCCTAGTGAGCCGCGGCGCCGGCTAGGTTTCTTCTTAAACCCCACCCACACCCCCACCTGGATGGGGCAGGTGGGGGCATCTTGGAAGCCTGGGAGGGGCATTTCCCAAATGGCCAACTGTCAAATGGTACCAGAGGAAGGAAGAAAAGAGATTGAGGAAAAAGAGAATCACTGTTCATTCATTCTTTCTCGTTCATTCATTCAGTAATATTCATGAAGCCCCAAAGATGTGCTGGCACCAGGTGGGCTTGCACAGGTGCCTTCTTGTATGTGAGGGGCTCAGAGCCTAGCAAGCAGGGGGTGGGAGGAGAGCAGGACAAGGGTCTCTCTGCGTCATCCTGTAACCCCTCTTCCATCCATCTATTCAGCTGGCATCAACATCAGAAGGGCAGGTGCCTGATTGGGGTGGGAACAGAGTCGGACCCCACCTGGGGTTCATCCAAGGGGAGTTTCACACTCTCCCTCAAGCTTGCTTATTGTGAAGTAAGTTCCAGCCATGTAAGCACCTTTATTCTTTTGCTCAAGACAATTCCTCGATTCTCCCTACTCCCATGGTATGACTGAATTTCTCTGGGGTAAATGTTGGGTGTTTGTGTGCAGGGCACCCAGGGAATTTGCAGTTTTGATTGCTTTTATAATGGCACAAAGGACAGCGTGGTATTTCCCTCTGCCTGATTGGAAAAATCACCTGATTTTGACATCATCGGTTTTCTCCCACTGAACCCTACAAGCTTAAAGACAAAGACAGCGATATCAGTTTAGAAAGGACCAGTGGTTGGGAGAATAATCACGTTCCCCAGAATTCTGTAGAAGACATTCCTGAACTCTGGACAGTTCAAAAAATGGTCATTTGGCAAGATCAGAGAAGGAAGGAATACTGAGTGGAACGTGTGACCTACACATGAATTACGCATCTGAGAGCCCGAATGGAATAGAATGACTTGACTGATAAAACTCTGTGCAACATGATAAAACCTACCTTCGGTGACTCAGAGCCACCTGAAGGGCTGTACTGGTCCATAAACCTCCTCATGTGAGCAGCTGTGTGAGACACTCCCACCCCAGGGCCCGGCGGCCAGGATTCACAGACCAGAGATGGTGGCAGTGTCCCTCCCTGTCCCCAGGCCACAAACAGGAACCACAGCCGTGCCCGTCATCCTCAGGCGATGCCCTCAGAGACCCCCGGCAGGTGCCTGCCCCTGCCCCAAGCACTGTAACACCCAGCATGTTGATCTGATCACCAAGAAGGCTACCTAGTGACTCACAGGCAGGCAGTTTGTACAGCACGGATGCACTGGACAGAGGGATGCCTCACGTGCCCTGACATGGAGAGGTTGGTGACAGATTTCATCACACTACTTAGGGCGGTGACAATCCGCAAGTGATTTAGTGCTGGAACTTTCCATTTAATATTTTCTGACCTCGATTGACCGTGAGCAACCGAAACTACCAAAAGCTAAACTGCAAATAAGGGGGGTGGAGCTTAACGGCACCTCACTAATCCCTGTGCGTCCAGCCTCCTACTTATGATCTGACCATTCAAGTTCCAGAGAAGTAAGTGAATGTGACTGTTCCTTTCAAATCCACTACTATAAAGCTTGGTTACATGAGGCACTACAGCACAAAATGATCAGAGGCTTTAGCTGTGAAATCACACCGGTATTTAAGTATCTGACATTTAATCATTAGTTTAAGATGAGCCTTACCAGGCTACATTAGAATCTGGTTATTTGATCTTTATTCACAAATGTTTCAGAGTGGCTAAGGCCAATATCGCCTCTGTGTGTTGACTATTTCTGTTCACTCAAGTTACCATTAGAGAGGAAAAACAGTCTCTTTCATACCTTGTTTCTTCATTGTTTTTCCCCTGCCCGCACCCCCTCTCCCCCAAGTGCTCCTAGGTTGAAACCTTCTAAGCCTGGCTTGGCTACCCTGGAAGACACAGCCGTGTCACGGGAAGCATGGCGTTCCAAGTCAGAGCCCTAATTCACGAACCCCGTCATGCACCTAGAGGACATTATGTTAAGTGAAACAGATCAGACCCGGGAAGGCAAAACTGCACCAGCAAATGGATCTCATGCAAGTAGAGAGTAAACCAGGCTCAGTAGACCAGAGCCTGAGAAGGGGTCAGCAGGGGAATGGAGCGAGGATGAGTAACGGGCACAGGGAATGCTTGGAGAGGAGGGATAACCCCTAACGTCCTGTAGCACAGTAGGGCAACTATGGTTGACAGCAACTGATAGAATATTTCCAAACGGCTAGCAGAGAAGATTTTAAATGTCCCCAACAGGAAGAAATGATGAACGCCTGAGGTGCTAGCTATGCCAGTTACACTGATCTGATCATCACACATCATGAGCTTGTGTCGAAATGTCAGATCGTACCCCCTTATCTGTATATTTATTAGGTACCAATTAAAAATAACAATCTAGGCCAGCGCCACGGCTCACTAGGCTAATCCTCCACCTTGCGGCGCCGGCACCCTGGGTTCTAGTCCTGGTCGGGGCGCCAGATTCTGTCCCGGTTGCCTCTCTTCCAGGCCAGCTCTCTGCTGTGGCCCGGGAAGGCAGTGGAGGATGGCCCAAGTGCTTGGGCCCTGCGCCCCATGGGAGACCAGGAGAAGCACCTGGCTCCTGGCCGCAGCAGCCATTGGAGAGTGAACCAACGGCAAAGAAAGACCTTTCTCTCTGTCTCTCTCACTGTCCACTCTGCCTGTCAAAAAAAAA